ACAGAAGGGGTAATGGGGGGTGAGATAAAATAATAAAGTGTCAAATAAAAGTTGAACAGATAACGCAGCAACTGAACCAAACCAAACAGGTACTCAACCAAAGTGGGATGGAAGAGGTTACAGCCTTTATTTACTTTGGGGTCCAGGTATAGGAGGAACAAAGGCATGGGAAGCAGAGCAAGTCCATGATTTTTTTAAAAGCCTGCTCCCGGTTCTGTTTATGCGTTGGCATGCAGATTAGTATGCTTATAGCCTTTATTTTTTGCTTTCATTACTTTCTTAATACAGAGTATTGCTAATAATTCAAGTCAAAATTGCTAAGAGAGAGCAACATAAATTTAGTCATTAGATGTGTATTTTATTACATGGATATATATAAGCAGGTCTGTGGGATTTCTGCGCTAAAAATCAAATACAGTATTCTCTCTCTCTCTCTCCCCCCCCCCCGTGTGTGTGTGTAAATTCAGCATTTATATCAGGGTGCTGAACCTACTTGAAATGGGGGCCAAATGCCCCCACCTCATTTGACTCTCTGCAGCCCGGATGGCACATCCATGTGCCTTTTTCCATGCTAAAAAAGCAAGAAGATACGTGTGTCAGTATGGAGGCAGGAATTTGAACAGGCTGGGAGGGAGACCGGGGGGCTGTGTCCACGACTGTGTGGCATGTGAACGGATTCTGCTTGTGCTTGAAGGAGTGGCTGGCACCAGCTATTCGTGCTTCTACCATTCTCTTCAGTCAGAGAGCAGAGGAAAGTGTGGGTCTGCCACCGGAGAGAGGGATTCCCCTAGGATCTGTGCCTTGGAGAAGCGCAAACCTTGCCCCCTTGGGAAAACTCTGCAAGCCAGATGAAACACCTCTACTAGCTGCCCTGGGCCTGTGGGATGGAAGCTCAGTATCTCTGATTTATGTAATATTTTCCAAAATGTTCATATATGCTGGCTAAATAAATTTTACAGTAATGCTGTACATTATGCAAACATTATTGTCCCATCCTGTAGATCAAAGACTGTAGCTAATAAGTGACTTTTCTAAGGGCCAAATTGCTCATGACATGAGAGCACAATTGGGTGCTCTGTTTGATGAATCGTAAACTGACTTAGCAAAAACCACTTTATGACATTTTAACAAATCAAACTTAAAGTTAGATATTAAAGATTTCAGAGATGTATGCAATCTCACTGCCTGGTGATGTATCAGTAATTCATATTATCAAGTTACTCACTGCCCAAAATCAGAAGAAAGCTGGTGATTCTTCTGTTGTGAAAATAGTTGTGTTGTCTCAGTCATTGTGCCTCAAAACCCAACTTGTTCCCACTGTTGTCCCAACGAAGGGTATGTGCCTCTGTTGGTTTTATATTATGCAATTCCATTCTGGCCCCTTATCTCAAGAAGGAGTCATCCTTCCCTTGGAAACTCTTTGTGCCACAGAAAATCTCTAAGTTGCTACTGTTAGGAAGCAGTTAACAAGTGGTGGGATAAAGTGATCTCTCTTTTGGTATATTACAAAAGGCTGTAAGCGAAAGGCTATTCTTTCTCAATTGGTTCTGTGAGGTCAAGTATATTCTAAGCTTGAAAGACTAAAGGTCAGCAAGGAGAATCAACTAAGAGGCACTCAGGAGTATGAGAAAGAATGGAAGGGGCACATTTCTATAATTTATTTAAGATAGTTTTGATGCCTGATGCACAGCTGATAACCTCTTCTCACTAGTTAACTGTTGTTCTTGTGGATTGTTCTCTTCCCACTCTTAATTTTATTCTCATGGCATCCTTTTAACCGGAGATGCTAGGCACTGAACTTTAGCTGCAAAAAGTATGTGCCTTACCAGTGAACCTTCCACAGCACTTGTTTGTGTATTTATATGGTTGTGTATTTTACTTTTGTATGTCCTGTCTTGGTTATACCCCTTATACAGCACTCTCATTTTAAGAGAGTTTCAAATGAGAGTAATGTAGCAGTTAGATGAGAAGAACATACATTTAAACTGTAGCTGAAAATTTAAAAAGTATTTGTTGCAAGACAAAGCTCACACATGAATTCAACATCTGTAGTTTCTGTCAGGATCTGCAGCCAAGATGTGGGCAGCCAAAGACGACACACAAGCCACAGGAGCACCAGGACCAGGGCAACAGAACTTCAGGAAAGACTGAGTCCAAAAGCAGAGTTGAAAGGAAAGTCCAAATCATAGTCATGGTACAGACCAAGAACAGGAACCAGAAGAATGCATGAGGACAGGACAAGGACATGGTCAGGGACAAGTGAAGGGTCAAGAACCAGCAGGACAGACAGAGGGGCAGGTACCTTTGACAGGATTAAAGTGCAGGAGACATGGCAGGATAGTCAAGACAAGAGGAACCAGATGCAGCACGAATACTGCTGGCAACAAACCCCAAAACATCCAGGCAATCTCTCCTGACAGATTTATATATATGCTGAACAGCACAGGGAGGAAGACAGAACCCTGTGGCGTACCACAGGCCAGTGGCCACAGCATCAAACATGAATCCTCCAGCACTGCCTTCTGAAATTACTCCTCCACAGAGAACTGGTGCCCCCATAGAACAGTGGCTCCAAGTCCCATCCCAAACAGGCATCCTCAAAATACACCATGTTTAATGGTATCAGTAGTTGCTGAGAAGTCCAGCAGAAACAAGAACAACACATTCCCAGTCCACTTCCACCAAGGATCTAGAAAATCCATTTAGAAATGGAGTCAAAAAGCCACTGCACAATCCAGCACAAAGCCCAAGAACAGAATGTGATACCTGATTAGAAATATTCAATAAAATGAAGTTTAGGAAAGTTATTTATTTAAGAAGGGGTCTTACCATTGCTTCCTTTTAGAAAAGTTGGCATCACACCTTGCCAGAGAGAGGAATTTTCACTACCCTGGCCCATTTTGTCAATAAGTCACCCCTCCCCCTCAAAAAATCTATCTCAAAAGTCCTTCAAGGGGTGAGTCCTACCTTGTGTGTTGAACCTTTGTCTCTTTGTTATATACCAAAAGGGACAAGGGTACATCATGCGTGTGGTAAGTTTCATCTCTCCAATAACTTTTGGAATAGGAGACTCTTGTTGTTATTTACTGCACAGCATAAGGCTTCTCTAAATCAAAGCTCCTTGCTGCAGTAATCATCTCCCCCCAGCACGCGCGCGCACACACAAACACTCTCATGTTGATAAATTACAATTAATACTTTGTCTGTGGTATCCATGTACACTGTAGCAACCATTTGTAAACCTATTCAGTCTTTCTAAAAAGCTGTTTTTCTCACTGGCAACTCAGATGAAATGTTTGTTAAAGAAGTTGCTATTAAACCTAGAATTTTTTGGAAAGTTAAACGTTATGTTTTCATTTGCTTTTCTAAAAAAATGCAGGATGGAGTTAGCTTTTTAATCCCAAATATATTTTAGCATTGGGTGAATAAAAATCCACACACACATTACATAACTAGAACATTATCCCTTTATTTGCATCAACACTCAAGACTAGGGCAGTTATGTACCTGAGTACAGGAGCACATCCTTTGCATGCAAAGGCTCCCAGATCAACTCCCAGGAAAAATTCTTGGCTGAAATCCTGGGAGTCCCATGCCAGTGGCTGTAGATAGTAAACACAGTGGATGGATCTTTGAACATAGTCTTAGCCTAGACCCTGTTTTCCTTTTCCAGTAGAGAACCAGCATGTATCACCAGATCAAATCACCTGTTTCCTGCACAGATGGGTGGTGTTCCTGCTTTCAAGTCATGGAGAAATTAACATGATTCAACAAGAAAAATGTGAATTTCAACTCTAATGCTTTTTTTTATCAACTTGTCGTACCTTGGGCCATACCATGATCTAGAAAAACACAACTCTGTATCCACCACATTCCTTAAGTCTTTGTCAAATGCTATATGCCTTGGGACCAGGAGATCTTAAAGACTGCATGTTCTATGAGGTCCTTTGGAGGGGGAAGGAAGGAAGCTGGAAGAGTAACTTGTTTCCTCTCCCTGGTCACTGCGATTCTTCTTTTTCATCCTCTCCAAGGTGAAGTTTCAGAGAAGGCAGCTGGAGTAGTTCTCTCCATGCTGCCTGTGATGGGTCAAAGGAGGGGTTTGGATCTCTGACTCCCTTCCAAAGTCAGAGCAATGTGTCCAATTTCAGAGGGATTTTTCAAGCAATCCTGTGGTCCATGGGATATTTTCTTAGGGACTAGAGGGCTGCTCTCTCTAGTGTCAGTGTAGACTGTAACTGAATCAACCAATGTATAAAAAAGCCCAGCGTACCTATCCTCTCAGCACTCTTTTATCCTGAGGCCAGAACAGATTATTCCCCCAAATCCAATCTCATGGCAGTTGCACAGATTGTCAGCCTTCCTTCACTGATAACCCCTTGGTAGCTGGGAGAGCTTGAGGAATGTCAACCATAAGTTGAAAAAAAAGCTGGTATTTGGAAAGGATTTTTTCTTCCCTTACAGCTTCTCGAGTTAAAAATGTGGAGGTTTCAGCTTTTCCCATCACTACTTATAGATGAATTAGTAATATTGTTTTTCTATCTTGTCTGTAAGGTGGCTTGAATTTAGATATATTATAATGTATCATCAGTAAGAACATCTATTTATATTCCTTCAGTGGTATCACTGAGAGAGTGTCTTAAAAAAAATCTTTTCATATGCTGTGTACTGAACTTAGTTTTCTTCACCATATTCTATTTTGTTTGCCCACTGTTCCCTGCCCCCACTTCAGAGTATCAGAGTATCATATATGGCCTTTTAAATGCGAGAGGTTCTTTGCAAGAATTGGTATACATTATTTATTTTATTTTTGACTAGGCCATATACCATTGCTTTTATTGGAATTGCACTTCTGTATGTTGAAGCTGTTGTTGGAAAAGAGAGGAGCCTAATGTAGCACGGAAGGTCCTGTTGTCATAAGAGAGTGGATGAATTATAGCTGTCTTGTGAGGAAAGTTTGCTTTTTAACTGCATAAAACTCTTTTTCAACGTATGTTTTTCAGAATAAGAAGTATGTTCTCATCATGGTGGATCCAGATGCTCCGAGCAGGGCCAATCCAAAGTACCGCTTCTGGAGACACTGGACTGTCATCAACATCCCCGTGAGCATTCCTGTCATTATATTCTTACCTAGCCAGTATCAGTAGCTTTGGATATTAACATTTCATTCACATAAATTTGGGCCTTTCTTTCATTTTAGTTCTTTTCAGCACCAATGGCTAAATTATGTGCTAATCCTAGAAACTTCATTTAATGCAAAAGAAGTATATAAATACTCAGGTATAAAGAGTCGGTAGGTGCTCCTTTTGCCGACTGGGTGGAGGTGTGAGACCTATTAGATAAGTGGATAATGCACTATTATTTATTTATTTATTTTTCGATTTATATCCCGCCTTTTTCCTACAAAGGGCTCAAGGCAGCTTACATCATTCTCCTCCTCCATCTTATCCCCACAACAACAACCCTGTGAGGTAGGTTGGGCTGAGAGTCTGTGACTGGCCCAAAGTCACCCAGTTGGCTCCATGGCTGAGCCGGGACCAGAACCCAGATCATCTGAGTCCCAGTCCCATGCTCTTAACCACCACACCGGCTCTATTTATCTGTACCTGGATACTCCAACTCTGGCTTGTATGCCAACTCTGTTTGTTCCTGATAAGGTCAGACCTGGCCACATTGACATAAATTCCAGCTAATGCACATAGATGCAATCACTGCAATGTATTCTTTGTGAGGCTACCTTTGTAGGGTCTTCAGAAACTGCTCTCAGCTCAGGATGTGGCAACAAGGATGTTAGTTAGATGTCATTGCCCCACAACAGTGCTATTGATTGGTTACCAATCTGCTTCCATGCATAATTCAGATGTTGTGATTATTTATTTATTTAGAAAATTTCTAGGCTACCCCATTCGCCGAAGCCTCGGGGCGGCTTACAAATAAATAAGTTAAAATACATAAATAACAATATGAAATACACCTAACTATATAAAATAAGTCATCCTGGCCAAAAAACTTTAAAATAAAAATAACATTAACAATTAAAATGACGCTTAAATAAAAAGGTCTTCTTATCTTTATTATCTTTAAAGCCCGAAATGGCTTAGGTGAAGGAGCCTTAAGGGCTACTTCCTCCTGTACCAATAGACCCACACAATAAATCTGATGGAGGGACCTTTCTCTGTATCCTGACTGTGACAGAGGTTCAGTTGATGGGGAAAAGATAAAGAGACCTACTTCTCAGTAGTTGTACTCAAATTATGGGATTGCTTTTTCCATAGGGTTGGTTGGGTCCTTTTGCTGAGTTCTGTCAGATGATGAAAAACACCAGCCTCCATTCTACCAAGAAGAACATTTTTTAGCCAATACCTTTGCTTATCTGCTGAACTTGTATCTGTTTTATATTGTCATTTTTGATTAATGTTGTTACATCTTATAATTGATTTTAATTGTTATAAGCTGTCCTGAGTTGTTTGCAGTTACTAGAGGGATAGGATATAAATCCTTCCCAAGCAAGCAAGCAAGCAAGCAAGCAAAAGAGTCACCATTCTTAAAAATGCAAATTAAAATGGAAATGAAATGAAAATTTGACTCAGTTCTAACAAAAGCACACACAAGCTAAATAACTTAGATTTCAAACACAATCACATTACATGCCTACTCAGCATGAAGTCCCAGGTGAATGTGTAGGTCTGCAGCACCAGTCAGCTATTTGCTGTTCCACATTATTGCATAAATGCTTGTGCATCAGTGGCCTGCAGTCAGATCAGGCAGCATGAATTCTCAGTTTATGAATCAATTTTCTCATATTTATATTAGAAATGTAGACCGAAAATGAAGTGGGGAATCAAAAAGAAGCACTTTTTTTTTTTTTTTTTTTTTTTGATAAGGTGAAGTTAAAGCCTGTGTTCCGCATATGCTCCAACCACCTCTGTTTACTAAGCCTGGTAAATCACTTGCTTGTATTTTGTCCTTTTTTTTTTTTTTTTTGCCTTGTTACACAGAGAGCGGGTTTGT